CCTCTTTTTTCCCCTTTTTTAAAGAATGCAGTGAAGCTTAATAATAAGCACAATATTGAACAGAAACTGGAAAGCTTGATTTTGATGGAAACAGTCCACTTATTGCACCCATTTTTTTATGCTATGTTTGGAATTAAAAATATAATTTCTTTTCAAAATACTGTTTTCAAGAAAAAGGGCTATTTATATCTTTCATTGTGATTTTAATGGGAATAAATATATCAGCTTTCTATATCAAATTCTAATCAACAGAAATAAAGGTCACTGGATCATAACATAAACTGTCTCTGACCATACCTAACCATATATGTTAAAATAAAAAAAAATATCCTGCTTTCAACATAACATGCCCCAAAAATTTTTTTAAAACATTATAATCTTAATACTTACACTTCTATATGTATTTTTCTCCCCAAAGCACAGAGATTTAAGCCTTTCCATTTGTGCTATTCTTTTAGCTTTCAGTGTTTCACTCTACAGGAATTCTTTCAAACCCACTTTCTCCCGTCCCCACAGAAGAAACCTAAATTTGCTTTCATATTTAGGCCAAACAAAACAGTGTAACTCTTCTGCACTTAGAGCTTGTGTATTACCAGTTGATTTCATTCCACGTTTATTATGATTTGGTCCAATAATTACCTTTCTTTCATATGACAACATCTATAACCTCGGTGTCATTTTTAGTCTAGATTTCAAACTGCAGAACTCATCTAACCAAATACCTCAAAAATACTTATTTGTGCTCAAGAAATCATGGCAAGTTAAAGCTTCCCACTAAAATATTGTAGCTTTTTTTTTTCATCACACATAGGCTTACCATCTGTATACAAACTTCACTGACACTTACTGGTTGCTATTCATATGATTCAGAATCACAAATTATAGAATCATAGAATGGTTTGGATTGGAAGGGACCTTAAAGATTATCTAGTTCCAACCCCCCTGCCATGGGCAGGGACACCTTCCACCAGACCAGGTCGCTCAAGGCCTCATCCAGTCTGGCCTTGAACACTTCCAGGGATGGGGCATCCACAGCTTCTCTGGGCAACCTGTTCCAGTGCCTCACCACCCTCTCTGTGAAGAACTTCTTCCTGATATCTAATCTAAACATCCCTGCTTTCAATTTAACCCCATTACCCCTTGTCCTGTCACTACAGACCCTTATAAAAAGTCCCCCCCAGCTTCCTTGTAGCCCCTTCAGGTACTGGCAGGGGCTATAAGGTCTCCCCAGAGCCTTCTCTTCTCCAGGCTGAACAAGTCCAACTCTCTCAGCCTGTCCCCATAGGATTAATTAAAACTACTTTAAGGCTTGGCTTTTTCAAGCCTTTACTAATGCAACAAATAGATTTTACTATTTGAAAATAAAAAGAAAACTTCTAAATGTACCTATCTTACTGAATACCCATAAAACAAACAGGAACTGCTTTTCCTACAGTTTTAACACTGGAGTTTTCAAAATATGTAATTTTGGGGGCAAAAGTTAATTGGCTAGCACATCCATGACTTAGCAAACAAATAAGAACACTGAAAACAAGAATGAAATTTTGGCTTCCCTACAACTGCAGCATCTTGAACTACCTCTTTCCTGCTTTGTCTGTGTTAATAACCTGTCTAATGAGTTACTGTTCTCCCAGACCCCCTTTCACACATGGATTTTGCCTGTGGGAGAATATCTTGGATATTTGCCCTTATTGTTTCAGTTATTATAAATATATAAATAAGGGGGGGTGGGGGTGGGGAGGCGCTGTGTACACCACCAAAAAACCAAAACCAAATCCACATATATTTTTCATCTTGTTTAAACTACAGTCACTTTATATTATATCTTAAATAGGAGATGAAGACACACATAATACACATTAGTCAATCTAATCTCCATATTTCTGCTATTTACTCAGCAGAAAAAAAATCATCTTTCCCACACCTATTCCTAGAGATGATACTAAAAGTACATCCTAAAAATTTCTGTGATTAGTTACACAGTTCTTTACAAGCTTTCAACCCAAAAGCTGAGGTATAACATAAGCTACCTACCTCAAGAAGACCTGTTAAATATTTCTTACAAATTGTGACAGGTTCAACCTCAGCAGAATAGGTACTCCAATCTGGATGTGCAGTAACATGAACCATTCCTCGTAACGTTCTCTCAAGTGAAGGAAGTCCATAAAAATGCGGTGCATCTGTTAGTTTTAAGCACTGTAGCAGCTTCAGAGCCAGCTCGGTTCTGAAAGAGCTAGCAAGTTCCAAGCCCTCTCTGGTTTAATTGTGAAAAACAAAAAAATCAAATGTCAACATCAAGCTATTATAATGCATCATTTTAGAAGAGGCAAATGCCTCATTCTTCTTACATTCTGTTAGTCTATGACTCTCAGCATCTCAATTAGTTACTATTGCCTTATCCACAGAATAACATGGAATTAAATTTAACATTTCTGGCTTCACCCAGATTCTGAAAGCATAATATTGCATCTCATTATAACAAGGCTTCTTAACCCAATAAGGAAAAAAGAGATATAACTAATTATTGAGGAGTATGTTAAATAAAGAGGAAGAGATTGAAGGTGATGGATATCCTAACAAGAAGAGATGCAAAGCTTAGTAGTTACGCTTATGTTCATTCTCATTCAAAAGACAAGTTTAAAAATATTTCGTGCAAAATGCCATCAGTCTAGAATTCAGGTAGATAAAAAGTACAGAAGTGTGAGATGTAACTAGCAGGGATTTCTATAATCCTCCCTTCTCCAGCTGTCAAAATGAATGAAGAAGGTAACATTTTGAAAGTATCGTTACAAACAGTTATGTTGTGGCACTTAAATATTTTATCTTAAGCTGCAGTTTTAGTAACTCTTAGAACACACTTGGACAGACAGATTAAGTGTGGGAAGATGTGATATTAGAAACTTGGAGAAAAAAATCCTGTGTTTGCTTGATTAACAGAAAAAGGTTGGAACTTCATGCTGGAAGTAGGTGTCCTAAGTAATCATTAATGTGCTTGATGTACTGTATTAGGCCAAAAAGGAGCTCAGTGAAAATAAACATTTGTTGATATTTCAAATACTTCAATGTTTTGCTTTACTATAAACAAATGCTACAAAATCAACCAAGTTAGTATTTGCATGTACAAATTTCCAGCAGTGAAAATGAAACAATCTATCTTCTCCCTGCAGTCAGATTAATCATCATTTGCTGAAAAAGTACATATTCTTTCAAATTTCCCAGTTAATTTCCTAATTTTACTGTGAAAAGGCCTATCCAATGTTGATCTTCCCTTCAGGAGGAGTACATTCCATTTGAACAGTTTAAATGATTGAGTCATCATGCAACTCTATTCAAATTCTGACCGAGATCCAGCAGCAGTAGGTATTATGATCCCCCACCAGAATTACACGGGCAGACCCATTCACATTGTACCTGTCAGTCACTGACACAGAACAAAATAACAATGTGTTAAAGAGACGAATGAGTTCTTTATCCAGTTGCTGCCTGACAGCAGTCTGTATTTCATCTATTTCATCCTGCACTTGAGATTCTGGTCGCACCAGGAGGTCCAAAAGGGATTTTGTCTTCTAAAAGAAAAGGATAAAAATACAGTCACATAATGCAATGTTTAATCCTGTTTTAATACCCACACTAAAGTCATTTTTCTGTTGGAGCCTGCAAATCACACATATTATAAATAACAAATTCCATAATCATTTTACTAAGAAGTATTTCTGTAAAAAGCACAGTAAAAGATTCCCATAATTAAAAATTACTTGAATGTACTAAATATCATGAAAGAATATACTGTTAAGGCCTTTAAAATCTCCTAGCATTAAGCCATGATACCATGTATTCTGAAACATGAAAGAAAAACTATGTACAGCAATAGCCTGCAAGAAAAAAAAACAAAGATGACAAAAAAACCAGAAAACACCAGTGGAAGTATTAGTTCAAGATGTATCTTTTAGGTCTCAGTTGCTTGAAAGACTTAAAGATATAAAGTTTTTATATTAATATGTTGAATGGATCATACTTACAAAATTTTATAGGATTCTCAATTAGCTATATAAATTGAAGTACTTGAATTCTATAAATAACTGAAGTCTACTAGCATTTTTTTCCTAAACGCTTAGATTTCATTTTAAATGTTTAAATTTTATTTTTAAATGAGAAAAATGCAAGTGCATGTAGACTGTACTTAATATACAATATGCCTTATAAGACCATCTTGCATGCAGGCAGTATGCCCTTGCTTTTGGAAGAACAGTACTTTCAAACTTCTAATACTTCAGACATCACTTTTATCTTTGGCATTTAACTATTGTTTTTATACAGTGAGATTACATTATTATTTTTTGATAAATATAATAAAAGTTGGTTTATATATCTCTATGATGTTAATTTCCTACTTGTTTTTATACTTCCCAGATTTACACATCTTAAATGAACAGTATTGGATAGAACAGATCTCTCTAATAGAAAGCACAGGAGTCTAGAAAAACTGAAAAGAAAAAAATTTCCTTCTTTCAATACTGTACATGCATTTTAACTAGAGCAACTAAAAACTGTACTGCTCATATAATACCTTCCTCATGCTTATAAAAATATTTTACTTAGACATATAACCATTTAAAATCAGAACTGAAGTGACAGACACACTGAAAGCAAAAACTTCTGTCCTAACTTACAATTCCTGTTCCTAATGCAAGACAGAGAATGTTTATTTTTATCTCTTTGCCAAACAGAAGGTTCCAACACACCTGTATGAAACCTCATCCTTTAAGTTACATAGATGATACACATGTAGTCATGCAGCTAAGCATACCTCATATTTATGTACAGTTACATAATTAACCATATCATAGAAGTATATGTACACATAGAGCTAGCTATACGGCTCTATACAACTATTACCATAGTTGACGACACCAGAGCAAGGCACACACAGGTAGATGTTTGCTGCTGGTAAATATATTTCAGTTTAAAGAGAAAATTCATATAACAAGTAAAGGAGAGAAGGAAGTTTACTCTTGTTCAAAATTAACTTCCTCAAACACTAAAATCGTAGCAATGGCCACAAAGTAGCTGACATTAACACCTCAAGATCTCCTACTTCTTGCTTTTGTTCAGAGAAGTTGTTTGTTTTCCTTGAGGAACTCACCAGAAACAAGCCAGCCAACCAGTTCACAGTTATTTCATTTCTTAGAGCCTACAGCTAACTTCTTAGGTATATTCTTACATTTTTAAGCAATGATTTCAGGATCCACTTCAGATGGTCTGACCCCAAACTTGATCTCTGCTCTCTAAGCAATTTGTTTAAAAATCTTAAGACATCTACTAAAAGCTTCTCATCCTCCGCAGAAGCTGGAAGCACTTGCAGAAACCTGCAATGCAAACAAAAATATTTACTTTCATACTTGTAGCACATTAAAAGAGAGTTTAAAATCTCAGCCTAATAGGACTGAAGTCACCTGCAAATGTGGAATTATACAAAGTAAATATGAATATTACATATATTTACAAAGAGCAAATATGGGGTTATATTGTTATGGATATCATAGGTATTAAATTATATATATAGAAACAATTTTGTCTAAAATACTGACTATATTGAATTATTATATACTATTTTACATGTACTGTGCGTTATTACAATATAAAGTTGTTACGTATATTTTAAAACGTATTTACAAATAGTAAACATGGAATTCCATATTGTGAAACGTAGAAAAATCTGAACAAGGCCACAGACAGGAAAGAAAAAAGGTAACTAGCTATTAAATACTCACAATTAATAATAATAGCAAAGTCTACCTATGCATTTTAAATAAGCCTTATTTTAAATACAGTATTTTTTGGTTTTGGATGGTTTTGTGTATGTAACTTACAGAACCATGTAATCATTGAGGTTGCAAGGGAGTTCTGGGGGCCACCTGGTCCAACCTTCCTGCTTATGCAGGGCCATCCTGGAGCCAGTTGCTCAGGACCCTGTCCAGGCAGATTTTGAGTATCTCCAAGGATGGAGATGCCACAATATCTCAGTGCAACCTGTGACAATTCTCAGTCACCCTCACAATAAGAAAAGTGTTTCCTGATGTTCAGAGTGATCCTCCTGTATTTCAGTTTGTGCCCATCACCCCTGGTTCTGTCACTGGACACCACTGGACAGAGAATGGCTTCATCTTCTTTATAGCCCCCTGTCAGGCACTTGTACAGATAGAGAAGATCCGCTCTCTGAGCCTCCTCTTCTCCAGACTAACCAGTCCCAGCTCTCTCAGTCTTTCTTCATAGGAGATGCTCCAGTCTTTCATCATCTTTGCAGTGCTTCGTCAGACTCTCTCCAGTGTGAAAATCTCTCCCTTGCAGTGGGCAGTTCAGAACTGGACACAGCAACACTCCTCCTAATGCAGTCCAGGATACCATTAGATTTCTTTGCTGCAAGGCACCTTGCTGGCTAATGTTCAGCTTTGTGTCCACCAGGATACCCAGATCCTTTTCTGGAAAGCTGCTTTCCAGCTTGGTGGCCCCCAGCATGTATTGCTGCCTGGGGTTCCTGCTCCCCAGGTACAGGACTTAGAATTTCCCCTTGGTGAACTTCACGAGGTGGCCGTCAGCCCACTTTTTCAGCCTGTTGAGGTCCCCCTGGATGGCAGCATGACCCTCTGGGTTATCAGCCACTCCTCCCGGTTTTGTAACATAAACAACATTACTGAGGGTGCACTCTGCCCTATGATCCCAATCATTAAGTTGTTGAACAGGATTATACCCAATATTGATCCCTGGGGCACATCGGTAGTTGCTGCCTTCCAAGTGGACTTCATACTACTGATCAGCACACTCTGGGCTCAGCTGTTCAGCCACTTTACCATCCATCTTACTGTCTACTCATCCAGCCCATACCTCATCAGCTTCTCTACAAAGATCTTACAAGACTGTGTGAAAAAGCCTTCCTAAAGTCAAAGTACATAATATTTACTGCTTTACCCTCATCTACCAAGTCAGTCATTTAATCGTAGAAGGATATCAGCAGGCTAGTCAAGTACGACTTCCCCTTGGTGAATTCATACACACCACTCCTGATGACCTTCTTGTCATTCATTTGCATGGAAATGGTTTCCAGGACTGGCTGCTCCATCACCTTCCCAGAGATCGAGGTGACGCTGCCCAGCCTGCAGTTCCCCAAGGCCTCCTTTCTACCCTTCTTTAAGATAGGAGTGACATTTGGTTTCCTCACATTTTCAAGCATTTCTCCCAGTCACCTCAATTGATCAAAAGGCAAATGAAATTCCATGAGCCAGATACACTCATAGGTGCATCCCATCATGGTCCATGGACATATGCAAGTCCAGTTTGCTTATGCACTCCTTAAACTGATCCTCTTCTACCAGCGATAGGTCTTCCTTGCTCCAGACTTTCCCCCGCGTATCTCAGATTCCTGAACATTGATCTTGCTAGTAAAGACTGAGGCGAGGAACGCATTCAGAACCTCACCGTTTCCATGCCCTGTGTCACTGGGACACCTGCCCCATGCAGCAGCAAGCTCACTTTTTCTCTAGCTTTCCTTTTGTCACCTAGGTACTTATAGAATCATTCATTACCATTGACATCTCTCGCCAGATTCAATTCCAGGTGGGCTTTTGGCTATTCTAACTGTGCCTCTCCAAGGTCAGGCAATGTCTCTGTATTCTTCCCAAGTTGCCTGTTCCTACTTCCACTCGCTGTAGACTTTTGTTTTATCTTTGAGTTACCAGGACCTCCATTCAAGCCTCCTGGCATTTTTGCCTGACTTCCTGCTCAATAGCATGTACTGTTCTTGAGCTTGGAGCAGCCGTCACTGAATGTTAACCAGCTTTCTTGGGTCTCTCTTCCCTCCAGGGCCCGATCCCATCAGACACTGACAAGGAGATCTTAGAAAAGGTCAGAGGCTGCTCTCCTGAAATCCAGTGCTGTGATCTTACTTTTTTCCCCCCCCTCTTCCTTCATCTCAGTGTCCTGAACTTTACAACCTCATGGTCACTACAGCCAAAGCTGCCTTATCCCCAATGAGCCCTTGCTTGTCTGTGAGCATGTGGTCCAGCAGAGCACCTCTCCTCATTGGCTCCTCTGTCACCTGGATCAGGAAGTTGTCACTGATGTTCTCCAGTAACTTCCTGGATTGCTTATGCCCATGTTGTCCCTCCAGCAGATAGAGGGAATAACATTCATATATTGGAATCAGAGGTGCATGGACAACCAATTCCATACGTATGAAAACTAGGAAATTTACAATTTAAGCATCATAATCTTTAATGGATTTCCGTAGTCGTTATGCTTACCTGTTTATTGCTTTTTGCCAAACAAAGCTCTTCAAAGTGGTTCCACAAGACCCAGAACTGTGTTTTAATGCGAGCCTGTCATTCAGAATGTAAAAACTAAGCCTAATGAGAGCAGTCCTAACATCCCTGTGAGATGCTGCCTGAATGATTGAATTCAGACAATCCTGCAGTCCACAGTTTGTGTGAGTTATTTTTAGTATAAGAATGTCTTCTGAGGATAGTTTGAGCGAGTCTAAAAATCTGAAAAGGTATAAGAGAAAAATTATTAACAGCCAGTATCTTTAAAAACTATTTCAGTGAGTGTTGACTCCTTCAATTACTGGTTCAAATGAGAACACATAAATTGCCTTAAAGACTAGTTTTTGTTAACTAATCCTTTCTCATCCTTTTCCCGTCCCCCTACCTCTTTCAAAACCAAAACCAAACAACAATAACAAACCACCACACCACATTTAAATCCTGAGTTGAGTGGATTCTTTGGAAAAACGGCACCTCTCGAGAAGTTACTTGAAAGGTGCTATTCACATTGTTTGTAATGAACTTTTTCTCCATGCTATTGTAAATGTTGGTGATTTGGACTATACTATTTTCCTGTTTTCTTTTTAAGAAACTGCTTTGGTTTTGCCTGAGGGAAGTAAAAATTAAAATGATTTATCAAATCAACAACTGCAAAGTTTCCAAAGGGTCAGAACCGCACTCTTTACTAATAAAACCTGTAGGATCCCTCAAAGGACGCAAGCCACAACTGAAAAACTGCCAAGATGGACAGAGATATGGATACAACCATTTCAGTCCTATCAAATCAAGAATCTTCTAAGGCACTGAGTTCTGTATACAAAATGGTCTCAAAGAGAGAAATGATGCTTAAGCAAAAGCTACCAAAAGGATGTAAAGGAAATTTTCTTCACTACCTACCATAACTCTTAGTAATACTGTTAACAAGAATAATTATTTGAAATGTAAATCCCCAAGAAAAGAAAGAGAAAAAAGTAAGCCATGCAACCATAAAAGGGAAAAAACCCACAAAAACTACAAGAAAAACAGCCACACAGCCCATTTAAAAAATTGTTTGAAATGAGACTGGCCATCAGTAAAACTTGGATCAAGCTCTACACTTCATGAAAAAAGGCAGTTTAAGTAAAACATTAGTTGTGACAACATATGTTCAGCCTCTTGGGATGTGATCCTTTGTATTTAAAAAGGCAGTGTTCTCAAACCAGTAAGAACTTCAACTGTTGTTCGACTTTGAAAACTTAATCAAAGTGCCAGAATGCTAATATAATTGAAAAAAAATTAGGATTTAAAATCAAGATAAAATGGCTCACGTTTCTGCTTCCTTCTCATAATTTATCAGTTGCAATAGGTTTTCGATCCCATGGTACCACGACAGATTCCAAGCCATCTTAAGCATATCTGACACAGGTTTCATAGTCAAGCACTCAGAAGACAGCGGCACCACGACAGTATTAGGACTAACTACATGATGAGCAGTAATCCTGACTGGGAGATGATACCTAAAAAAAGAGGGAAAAAAATAAAAAACGCAATTTAAAAAGTGTTTGCCTTTGGTTGGTTTTAAATTTGCAACAAAGTTTCTGAAACTCTTTTTCAGAGAACAACAACTTGGACGAAAAATCTCCATGTTTAAAAAAGTGAACAACTTCAGATTTAAAAATCAAACGTTTCCCTTCATTCTCCCAATTTCACACTTCAGGAAGGACAGTAGATGATAAGAAGCAAAGTTAATATAAAAAAAAAAAAAAAGCCAAACAAACAAAAACCCAAACCACCCAGACATACCTTCTAACAACAGCAACAGGTAAACTAAAGGCAGGTGGGCCAGTATCATCAACAGTTATGCCATCAGTCCTGCAAGAGATGAAGTTATAGTTGCTAAGTTTTACTTTTTTACTAATGCTATGCTAATTATTTCTTTACTATTCAGATACAGGTGTATTTTTTCCTCCAGTTAGCTCTTTAGCAACCCACTGATGAATAATTTGTATTAATAAATGTTTCCTCATGATGATGCAATATCAAGACAGTTCTTTGATCCCACACAGAACACTCGTTGCAGATGTACTGCACATAAAAATTAAAGACAACAATACCAAAGCACATGCTTGTTTCAATTTTTCTACTGGAGAAAAAATAAGTATGATAATTCTTTTCAGTATATTTGAGGTGTGTGAATTTTAAAAGCATATTTGTTCTGAAGTATATGCAAATTTCAAATAATAAAATATCATAAGCTGAGGTTTGTTGTTTTAAGGACAACTGTTACACTCAAAAGCCAAAGTAAATAGGAGAATTCTAATTAAGTTTAAAAAAACATGCCTACAGCTAGCTATATCATTTGTGTAGCTTCCATTTATGGAAAAAAGGATTACAGACCAAACAGGGCTTTTTGAAAATTGAAGTAAATTTAAATGAGGTACAAAGTATTTACACTGCAAAAATATGCCACGTAGACCTAGACAGCATGCAACCCAAATAGTAAAACAATTTGGCCTACAGATATGCAATTCTGAATATATTAAAGTTTGGGGCATACATTTTTTATATATATATAAACGTATTTTCATTAAAATATTAAGTTTTGACTAAAGAATAAGCCATTAAATACCTGTTTTTTTCATACCATGTTTCTTTTCTTGCTACTTCATCAAATAGCAGAAGACAGAGCAATACTGCAGTTTCAGTTAAAACAGCACGATCAGTCTGGAATATCAGGGAAACTAAATAAAATAAAGATATTTTAAATTGTGTTAGGCAAATATTGACATTTAATAATACATAGAAGGACATGGTTAAAAACAATTGGTTTCTACAGTCATTTTGCTAACATCTTCAACAGATGCCACAACATAGCACTGCTGAGCACTAGAACACAATGATTTATCTTTTAAATTATACAGACTCTGAAGAGATGCAAGATTCTGAAGAAGGTTTTGGTCAAACATCTAATCATATTTCACATATTTTCTTTCCACACATGTATTAAATCTAAAATCATTAGAATCTTTACCTCTGAATAACAAAAGCAGTAAAGTTGATTGCTGTGCTAGGGACAGACGAACAACTGGATCAGCATATACCAGTTTGCGTAACAGTGTTAGACATGGTAACATGATGGATTCCATAAGCTGCAGGAACAGAGGAAGAAAAATTAAATACAGATAACAATTCAGATAATCTATTATGAGTTGCTTAAAACAAACTGTCATGCTATGAAGAAATACATTCTATCGTTTATAGTAGAGAAACCTAGAACTTTCTCAGACAAGCACATCCCATCTAGACAATAACTGCATATTTATTAGAAAATATTTATTCTCTTCTCGTTTTACTTTTTTAGTAACTGATGGCTGGTTTATTGGTCCCTGGACTCATAAACAAAATTATGTTTATGAAATATGTATTTTTAAGAAGCATATACATGAGCTGAAGGATTTCCAAAAAGCTCCAAATATTTACAAACACATAAGCTTACACTAACGTCTTCGTTAGTGACATG